TTCCTTTGCTCTTCCTTCTCTCTTCTTTTCCATTCAATGATTTACAAATGTTTGAATACCTGCTACATACTGGAGCCATTAATTAGGAACTGGCATATAAGTAGGCCCAAGAGCCAAAGGAAACATTCAACAATAATAAAAGGATTCTGGATGCAAATACTGTGTCTGTCTATTTTGATAGTAATACATGTGCATTATTCTGTAATTCTTAAGTTTCATATTTGTGTCCTTTGAAGTTGCAACTTCAATGATCATTTATCTTTTAAATATTTAAAATTTAGAATTTGGATACCTCTAAAATCTATAGATTAATTATGAGTAAGGGAAAGACTATGAAAGGGCACAAATATGATCATTGACAACCCCACCCTGTAACACCGACAAGTAAATGAGCTGTGAGGTGGAAAGGGTAGAGTCCTCATGGCAGAAGCAGCGAGCGTTTTCTAAGGAAAGTGTCCTCTGTCTTCTTATAACAGTCTAGACAGTTGCAAAACACAGGCCAAAATATCATTGTGTAGAGGAAAGGGAGAGACAAGAGACAATAGTACAACAACTTTTATTAGAATTCTCATTGAAAAAGTACAAAAGTTAATAAAATTAAGTAAAATTAAGTTCAACAGTCAATATTAGAACAGTTCAAGTAAACAAATATTCAGGAAACAGAAAAAAATGAATGTAGGCCAATAGTCAATGTTAAACAGATCAAGTAAAAAGTAAATTAAACTACCAAGCCCCATATGGAAAGGAGGTACAGGAAGACATTCTTGAAGAAGTCTGTTCTTTCTCAAAGGTTCTGCTTAGATCCAAAGGTGCTAATATCCAGAGACTAACATCTAAAGGAAAGGAAGGATATAGTGGGAGGGAGAGGGAACAGGAGGAGAGGGAAGGAAGAAAAACTCATATTTCATGAGCTTTTTAAAACAAAGTTAGGTTAGTAACTTTAAAAACAAAGTTAAGTTACTTTGTTAGGCACTATATATATATATACATATATATATGTATATATATTCATTTAATCCTCACAACAGCCCTGCAAGGCTGGAGTCACCAACAACAATGCTGCCCAGTTTTAAAGATAAGAGTACCATGGACTGTAATTCACATGCCCCAAGTCATACAGTTCATACTGGATAGCTTTAGTGTCAACTTGACACACCTGGGTTGAAGGAGCCTCAATTGGGGAATTGTCTCTATTGGACTGGCCTGCGGCCATGTCTGAGGAGCAACTTCTTGATGAGTGATGTGGGAGGGCCCAGCCCACTGTGGGTGATGCCACTGCTGGGCAGGTGGGCCTGTGTTGCATAAAAAAGCAGGCTGAGCAGGACCAGGGGAGCAAGCCAGTAAGCAGCGTTCCTCCATGGCCTGTGCTCCAGCTCCTGCTTCCAGGTTCCTGTCCTGAGTTCCTACCTTGGGCTCCCTGTTGAACTGTGACCTGGGAGATGTAAACTGAATAAACCCTTTCCTCCCCAAGTTGGTATTAGTCAGAGTATTTTGTCACAGCAATGAAGAACAAACTAGGACACAGTTGAAGTGGTAAAGAGATCAGAACCCAACTCCCCTCCAAAGCCTTTCTTTCCTCTCATACCAAAGAGTGCATACATCACACCTGTAGGAAAAAGCAACTCTCCAGGATCTTTGGCTCTCTGGAGATATGTGTATAGTCCACTCAAAGTATATTATTTATTTATTATTTATTTATTTATCACTGAGCTTGGGAGTAGAGAAATCTGGACCACATTTCCAAGAGGACAAGACTGATGTATCTATTTCTTCTTTGTTTCAGAAGAAAGAACAGTTAGTGAGAAAAGGCATACAAGAATTGAATGCTGCCTACCAGTGGGCGGGCTATGAAAGTCCCCCTAGAGTACCTTCATTAGTAGAAAAGGGAGAAAAAAAATATATGATAAACAGGAATGTGCAGACTTGAATGTACATGTTAATCGATGATTAGGAAGATGAATCAACTCTGGTAACCTAGATTCCTTAGCTGTCAAAGCCTAAAAATAAAGACATTCAAAGAAACACCAAGCATACAGCAGAGCTCTCCACTAGCTCGTGTCTCCAGCACAGTCCACAGGCTAATATCTATACTGACGGCCCCTTCTTAGTTGATGAGTTTTTCACAATGTATTTCATGGCTTCCATCCCTACATGAGACTTTATTACTATCACATAGGAATAAAAAGCCATAAAGCACTAGAGTGAATTTATCTTGGTCGGATGCAAAACTTATTTTCTTCACATGACTTCACAACCACTTCAAAGCTAACCAATCATTTCATGCTACATTAAGGAACATTTCAAACTACACATAAGTGACAAGAAGCACACTTAAATTGTGACATCACAAATTAACAAGTTTTAACCTTCAACGACATTCTTACTACAAAGACCAGAAACATGACCTGAAGACACTCAGCAACATTCAGCCATAGAATTTCACCAGAAATAAAGGACACTGGGAAGAATTCCCAGAGAAAAGCTCATCACTTGGACATTGAACTTGGAAACACATAAGGAAAGACAGAAGACAGACATATCACTATACAAACTAAAGCCAGGGAATTATTTCAAGCCTCTGGAATCTACTTTCTCCCACAGGAAGCTTTCCTACATACCCACCACCTGTGTTTAGACATTTCATTTAGGAGCAAGCAGAGAGGAAGAACCTTAACGCCTGCTTGCATTATGTATTCATTAAGCCTCTACACCTAAGTAACAAAAAAGGAAATGAGGAAGGATCCAACCCACAGTACGTAGGGTCCATGAGTGCTACCCTGCTCATCTGTAGCCTTTCACAGAGGCTGGTGCCATCCCCATCCCTTTCAACAGAAACAAGAACCTACCTCTGCGAGAAACAATGCCACACACTCAGAACTCTCCGTGATCTAAATAATGCAGGTCTAGACTTCCAGATTATTCTTTATGGTGCATTAACAGGCGTTGCTCTTGGTGGTATTAAAACGCTTACGGGTGGCCACACTAAAGCCCAGCTCTCAGGGAGTGAAGAAAGCTTGGTGCCTTAAGTTTCCATCATTTTCTGCCCTTTCAAAAATGAACCTGAAGTACGTATTTACCAACTCCTGAAGATGCATTCCACACTATTATAAACTGCCCTCTGCAGTAGAAAAAAAATGTACTGTTCAAATTCAAATGTAGAAAACCCCAGGAACCTAAGTTCGTTCCCTTAAGAGTAAAAGGCTAGGCCATCTATTTCCATCTAGAAGTTATTGTAATGAAATTTTGGTTTGTATGAATCCTAAGGAGACTGGAAATAGTTAAATGAAAGGAAGTGCATACATAAATTCAATTATCATGCATGAACATGCAAATGATTTAAGCACTGCATCTGAAACTCTAGTTTATATTCATTAATCTCAGGTTGCACTTTTTGAAGGAGAAAGACATGCTAATTGGGTCCAGATTAATGCACTCTCAAACCTCTCCAATTTGTTTTTAGGTGAGGGTTAAATGATACGTTTTAAAATAAACACAGCTGCTCATCTGCTTCCACCTTTTACCGCCCCAGCTCCACCTCTGCCTCTGCCCCCAGCTGGCTACCTCCCCTGTCTCACTCCACCCCTCAGCTGGCTCCCTTCTCCACCACAACTCACCCCCAGCTGGCTCCCCTACTTTACCAAGTCTGCCCTTCCCATAGAGAAGGTATCAAAGAACTCTCCTGCCTTGTCTTTCTGAAAACACATTGGAAGAATAACTGCTTCTTTAGCCATTTCAGTGCTTTCCCTTGCCCCAGAAGTCCCCACACCCCAGGAAGGGAATCATCCACATCCTAGACCCTGATGATGCTGAACTGTGGCATTGAGCATGAATACCAACAGGAAGGCAGCCTGGCATCTTCTCAGCGAACGCATTCTTTCTACAAGTTTGGGCCTTAGTTCTTTGGACCAGGATTGAAGCGTTGTTTGAAAGAGCCCAGACACAGGATTGTTGGAAGCCAAAATTGCTTAAGGTTGGCATGGTGATCCTGTGACTTGGTTATGTGGGAAATAAGAGACTCGGGACAGAACAGGGGTTTTGCTGCATTCTTTCTCTGTGACTCACAAAGACCCTTGGCTGTCCCTGTCCCTTCTCCCTGGCAAAATAAGTCTTCAAAAAAGAAAAAGAAAACTATCATTTATCTATCTACTTATCTTGCTGAAACATTAGTTTGGCACACACACAAAAAAAATGACAAATTTGAATCCTATGAGTAATAATCTTAAAATTGTAAACTATTGTTTTTCTTGAATCTCATCTTTAGAACAATGAGACAAAGAGGGTCTATGGGTTATTGGGGATAAAGTCAGCCACAAAGCTGGGATGGAAAAGATCCCTTTTATAAAACAAGCATAAAGGGGTTAAATCAGGCACCAAAAGGAGGGGCAGTGGGATTTCAAACTAATTTCACACTGAAAATGATGCTTAATTTGAAGCCTGCTTGTCCCAAAGGGAAAAGGTGGTTCTCTTACTTGACTGCTTGTAGCCTCTACATCCTCCCTCTCTTCATATGAATTGAAAATTCAGTGACCATTAATCATGGTATGGTACGTTCATATTTTTCTTCCCTGTTCCAAAAATCAGATGAAAGTCTTGGTTCCCACCTCAGGGATTCACCATTTGACTAATTCTTCTAGCGTATGTTCTCAACAGAGGGGAGACAAGAACATGGGCACGTAGGCACACAGAGACAGAAATTGCTGGACATACACACAACACAGTACTGCACATAAGGACAGACAACTAGTGACAGATGCAGGGCTCAGAGAGCCTTTCCACCTAAATTGATTTCTGCATATTTGCAAATGTAAAATTAGTCATCGTAAATAACAGCAAGGGTGAGGCTGATATTAAATCTGTCAACATCCTGACAAATGCCCTGAGCATTCCGTGCTTGGGAAATACACTTAGGATCGTCATCACTCCTAAAAGAGAAAATGATTATACACTAACCAAACCCTAAGTATGAGCTAAAGATATTCACCTCATGAAGCCATTCCTCAACTAGCCCCTTGGCACTCACTGGAATTATTCGCAGCACGAGCTCTACTTTCTCATTTTCTGCTGTCTCCATGTGGGTAATTTCTTTCTCATGATTAAAAGTGAGCTTGGCAGATCCTTCAAAGCGTGGTTTTAGGTGTGATGGGTCTCCAAGAGCATCCTTTGTCTAAAGCAGGATTCTAAGGATGTATCATTGAACCTTTGGATGGGCAAGTCTCGACAATATTCATGTACCTAAAAGGATTTTTTAAAGGCAGACTTTATAGATATCTTTATATAAACATATTTTTGAACTGAAACACAGATGAAATGAACTGTTTACCTTGGAAAGAATAGGTGGTTTTTTGCTTCCAAATAATCGCTCTAGTCTTTCTGAATGTCATCCAGGAGCCGTTCTGCCTCCTTCGACTTATCCAGCATCTGAGGTTGTGAGATAACCCTTATAGCACTGGCCTCCTTCCCCCGGCCCCTTCATTATTAGCCTCCTGGTGGGTGAGATAGAATACAGTGACTGTAATAACCCTACTTCACACAACAGGCTTGCTCTCTCTTTTAAATTGAAAATCCCCTTATTACAAAACAAGGGGTGTTCTTTTTCTTCTACCTTTAAGTAAGAATGCCACATTCATTGCTTTTTACAAAAACCGCAGCTGCTTTTTAAGCTACAGATAAATAGAATCTGCTAGGCGGTAATTCGACTCAGTCTGAATGCATTATTTTCCAAGACACTTTGGTGAGGGGCTTTTTATTATACACTGGTAGGAAGAAGGAAAGTCCTTTTCTCTCCTAATTATGGATGTATTTTGTTCCCTACTATTAACCTACAATGTCAGATTGATCTTCTTTTGCTACAGCCAGTTCAATAAATCAACATTTTTTTTTCCTGGAAAATTAGAGGGTTAATGATTAAGTCTTCATGAACTTCAATGACAAAAATAAAATTAGCACAAGGGAGAAGCAGATGCTGAAACCATAAACACACAACCAAGTGTCCATGAATGCCTCAGGGAATGAACCATGTTTGGAACACCCAAAGTTAAGATCATCAGGATTGAGCTGTGAACTCTAAGTGATTTAATTGTAATAAAAGTAAGGTTTTCCAGGCATCTTGATATATTTGCTTACTTAGAAAGGAATAAAAAAAATACATAACTATTTATGGAGAGTGCCGTACTGCTGGTGTTTACTGTTCGCTTGTTCAGTGTGGGTAATGGTTGTCAATGCTGTCAGTTACTCTCATACTTCTCCTCCACTGAAGCGATGAAATGAAGAACCAAAGCAGAAGAAAGAACGACACAGTGTGTTCAACCTGAGCTTGTGCTGTGCTGCCTTAACCCTGAAGATAAACACTGAGAAAAATCCAGAGTTCCTAACACTATTGAAAAACTCTGGAAACTCCATTAGCCTAGGTGATGGTTTAATTTTGATCCCAATGTTGGTATTTCTGACTATAATATTGCAACCAACCACGGCGACAATGCTCAAGGTCTATATGGATATATTGTCTTGCCAAGACGGAAAATCCCACAGGGTGTCAGTGGGGTTCCAATTAAGGAAAAATAAATACTGCTTCAGCCCTCAACAGTAAGAGGAGATTACCAGCAGATCACAGCACATAGGCAGGTGCTCCACACTGAAACCACAGGCTGAGCCCTTGCCATCAGCTAGCAGAGGACTGAGAAGATCTGGGTGTGACAAGAAGTTTCAGAATGATTTATTCGTGTTTGCTCATACTATTTTGAGTGTGTTTCCAATAAAGTTGATAGTGACAATTAAAGCGACCTTGTGCAAAGCACAAAATCTTTCATGAACCCTGAACTGAGACTGCAGGCATATTTAAGAGACCTCAGACCCAAAAGAGGGAAGGACAGAGAGAGAGAGAGAGAGAGAGAGAGAGAGAGAGAGAGAGAAAGAGGCTTTGAAATCATATTTGCATTTAAAACTATGCTAAATTTTTTCCTATGTAGTTCTGTCTGAAATTTTTTAAAGGCAGATATTAGTTCCAAGTGGGATGCTGACTGGATTTTCCAAGCATCTACTTTAGGAAGAATGTGTTTACTGTAAATGGTGAGGGATAGCTTTCAAGATTCTACTTCTCTGCTTGGATTTGAATCGATATCCTATCCATTGATATGCCTGGGAACACAAGATGTGTGTGTCGGGAGCCCGCCCTGGCTTCCAAGCCTGAGTGATGCTGTGGCAACTTAAGAAGCCCAGTTTACCCTGAAAAAGTAACTGAGTCCCGTCCCTGAGCTGCAAAGTGAAGCACATTAGACATCGCCATAAGAGGGAAATTGAATCCCTGTGCATCAATATCTCCACTGAGCGGACATCACAATAACAAGCCTGCGTTGGCAATCAAGAATGTTTATTTTTGTTATAGAGATGTCTGAAGCAAATGAAAAGCAAAACCACAGTTGTCTATTTGAAGGAATGCAATTTCCTACATATCCTGAGAGACAAACATCATTTTTATAGAAACAAGTTTTCCTGGGTTGCCCACAAAAATACCTCTGAGCACACTCTTGCCCCAATTCACTCTTTTCTCCCTTTTGACCTTGGACTGTTATTATCACAAACTGAAACAGGCAGAGTTAATGTGATCTTGTGAGAGTGGCATTCTTCTGCTCCCTGTGTCATTAATAAGAAAAGTATGTGATGATAGCCACTAGTCAGAACTCTTGGCCACTATTAAAACTCCAAACAATTAAATTCCTAGCTCTATTGAAAGTGACTCTGTGACAGGAAGAAAAAAATGGCTGTCCTATCAAAGAAGACTCAAGGAGGTGGTGCCTTAACAAGGTGGCCTTATTCTGTTCTCTCTTTGGGAAAAGAAAAACAGTGGAGAAACAAAGTAAGAAGGAGGAAGAGGAGGAGATGAAGGGAGAGGAGAAAGAACGGGAGGGATTTTGTTCTTTCTCATATAAAATAGTCCTCTTCACACTATTTTTATTTTTATTTTATTTTTTGGCTTTTTGAGACAGGGTCTCCCTGTAGCTCCAGCTGCCTGGAACTCACTCTGTAGACCAGGCTGGCCTCAAACTCACAGAGGATCCACCTGTCTCTGCCTCCCCAGTGCTAGGATTAAAGGCGTGCGCCACCGTGCCCAGCCACACCATCTTTTGACCACTTCAAAACAAATCCAGGTTTTACATTCGCTAAGCCTCACTTTCCGCCCCTTGTAAGTTGAGGACCATTGTCCCTGTCTTACTGTCTATCAGATACCTGACAATAGTAGTCATAAGAAACAGCCAGTACTGATCTTGACACTGTTATTTAGGCTCCTAAGTCTTCTGTGCCTGTTGATCTGAAAGTTTTTTCATTCCCCAGTCACCCTAGGAATACCCAGCAAAGCAAAAAACCCGATACAAACTCAGTACAATTTCAATAGTAAGGCTATCCAGCAACTTTGCTTTATTTCTGGGTCCTGAAGATAGGAAAAGACGATATCTTAGGAATGAGAACGAGGCGGCACTAAGTTTGGGATGACCGTATCTACTCTGTGTTCTGAAAGGCTTACTAGGCAGAGCCAAATCTCCAATGAGGTAAGAGATGGCAACCACAAAGAGAAACTAGAATCCATTTGGCTGTGTGGTTGTTGCCTTCCAGTCTCAACTTCAGGCTAGTATGCACGTCTCCTACATGGACACACACACACACACACACACTCACCTGCATTCACAACCCCTCAGGTACATTGCAATTCCACTCAAGAAACAAATCTGCTTTAATTATCATACCTGAAAATCTTTACTCTTCAGATGGTGATAAAATACTAATCTTATTACAAATATTAGGTAAATCTGAATTTGTAAAAAGAATTTTAATATTTCATCTTTATTGAATAAAGTACCAGGTAACCACACCCAGGTTGTAAAAGGATATCAAGACTGTAACTCAGTTAATAAGATGGACTAAATTTCAAATGACAAAATAACAACTTACTCTTAAACATTTTCTGTAGATTTCATTTTATATTTTACCAAAATTTTAATGATTGTTTTAAATGGAAAAGATCAACTATATTATGGAAGGTAAATTTTGACGTAAGTATATTAGCTTATTTTTTGAAGGAAAAGCACACTACTGTGAATATAAAAAGAGATTTCATCATCCTTTCCCCCAATTATATTTCTAAACAGCGTTTTCTGAAATAATCACATTTTTATGAAGCTAAATATTGTATGATGATCAAATTCAATAAATTACTACACAAACAAAAGCAGACTCTTAGAAGGGCAACTTCAAAAGACTTTCTCCTCCTCATGGCTGTTTGCCCATGAATTTGCCTCTCAAGCCAGAAAGAGGCTCCAAGCTCCATTGACCACATGAAATTCCAGCCAATATTCTAATGTCTACAGAAGGCAGGACATGAGGGGGGGGCAACAAAACAAGAGTGTGCTGTTGAGTTTGGAGTGTCCTACCAATGAGGGAACACCGAGCCACATTCAGCAGGGAGATGCTGTACATAGGAACAGTGAGAGAAGCTCTTTAACTCCTTGTCAAGGCTTTCTGACACCCCAAGCTTTCACCAGGTCAAAAAAGGTGTCCCCAATTTCTGTTTTCTGTTCTCCTTAAAGGAGCACAGTGAAGAACGAGGCCACTCAGCTGCCTTTTAGCATGTCACACTTGGATGATTCCCTTCCTTACCAGAGAGCATGTCCATTCCCTTTGGACTCAGAGAAGAAAAGCAAAAATCCATCCAGAACAAAAGGACTCTGATGTTATTGCCCCTTTTGTATAATCGCCCATGGTATAGTTAAGTTGAAAAAAAAGTTTTCTATAAAGACCAGTGAAGCAACAAATCACTTAGGTTAAAAACTAAAATTTAAGACAGGATGAAATTTAAAAACTAATTAAATTCAACAAGGACTTCTCAAAGGACCATGTCCATAGTCTTTGAGGGCTAATATTTTGTTTTTGAAGGGGAAAGTTGACATGGTTGTAGATTCTATACTATGAGCCTTTAAAAAGCCTGAGATGGGGCAAAAAAAAAAAGAGAGAGAGAGAGATGAGATGCATGGATTTCTGTACTGAATAGATGCCAGGGCCAGGATGCAAAGAATAGATAAGTTCCAGCTCTGAAGGAACTAAATTTGAAGGCAGACAGTAAAACGGATTGAACCTTATTACCTCCAGTCCCCGAGAAATTCCCGAGACAGTTGGATGCAATTTGAAAAGGTCAGAAAAATATTTCCTGCACAGCATTACTGCTTCATGGTTTAAGCGTGTACATTTGTGAGATGCCAACTCTAATCATTTTTATTGACTTTGCTTTCTAGAGACAGACAGACAGTCTGGGAGACAAGACCACCAGATAAGAGGAAGGCAATCTTACAAATGAAAATCATCTCTCTTACTTTGTTCTCTGACTTGCGACTGTGAACAATTCCAAGTCGTCCCTGTTTGAAGGGAAATTACACCAACTTCTTCCCACTGAAGACTGACAGAATGGAAAAAGCAACTTAGGAAAGCACCACTATAATTGTAGTGAGGTTATTTCCTTTTAATTACTACTTAGTTCACTTCGACTATATGCTAAGTACTGGGAAAGGTAAGTGATGATGCTGTAGTTTGATCCAGGGAATGTGATTAAAATGAAATGCCAGAAAACACAGTATAATATGGGCACTAATTTCCTGCTAACATTTCTATTGAGGAATGGCTTCAAGAAAGAGGGAAAACCCACAGGAAAGAGTGAAATTTAATAAAGCATACAAACATCCATTAAAGATATTACAAAAGGCTCTATTGTCATTAAAGTCCTTCGAAATACAAAGGGGGAAAAAGGTTTTTCTTTAAGTGAGATTTGTATGCAACAAGAACCTTTGTTAGCAAATGTAGTCCTGGGTCTTTTTTCCTTTCTCTCTCTTCTCCTTTATTGGCATGCAATTAGAAGTCAAAGCTGACTTTTCAATACAGAATGGCATGATCCTTTCCAACTCCGCAAAGTTTTAATTAACATCTGACTTCTCTTTCTGTGGGGAAGCAAACACAAGCCTGTTTACTCTTGTTTAGCAGTAGAGCTAAAACTTTTTAGTGGCCTTGAGACCTGTCTGCATGCTTTCCTAAGATGTTATGGACCCATGAGGCTATCTTGGCAGCTGGCTAGAGCTTTTCAACGAGCAAGATGTGTCTTCCTATGGACAGCCTTCGTGCTGATCAGTTCTACAACCCTGTAATCCACAGGCCATCACTTCTTGCAACACAGGAAGCCAACTACAAGAAGGCTCTGCGTAATGTCAAGTACCCCCAACAAAGGGAAAAAAGAAAACTCATTAGCTAGACATCTGGATTCTTGGCAGTGAGGGCAGAAATTTCTTGCTTGTAATAACTTTTTTCTTTCCATCTCACATGAATATTTGAAATTGGCCAGATAAAAGCAATAAAATTGGTGGAGAAATTTAAGACTTCCCATCTTATACAATATCTTAGAACTTATAAATTAAAAAAGCTCTCATTGGAACTTTGTGATATAGGCTGCCACTGAGTTACATTTAACACATGAAGTTTCCCACATTTTAATTTTTGTAATCTGTTTTACTGGCAGAAAGTGTTTCATATTCATCTCTTTGATTTGAACTGCTTATATTGCTCTAGAGGAAAACTTCAGAGTCTTTACTGGTCATTAACATCACTAATCATGAAAATAACAAGTAACATTACACTTATATTAACAATGATAATAGAAGATAATGGATCATAGTAACATCCATTAGTTGAGCACTTACTATATGTGAACGTTTAACAAATCCTTTATCTCATTCCATCCTCATAGACAATGTAAATGAAGCAAACCTGAGATGGGGATCAGGGAGGTTTGAAAATTTGCGAGCATTGAACCTAGGGCTCAAACCAAGTCTTATTCTTATTTCATATTTCTTCCAAAGCTCTGAGTTTTGAACTGTGCTGCACAGGCATGACCATAGAACAGCCAGTCCTCAGTCACAGAGTGTCTCTGCAGGAGTGCTGAGCCAAATGTTACTACTCTTGTAGACTGAGCCATGGGCACCAAACGTTTACAGCTCAACAGATTACACCAGTTGTATTTCTATAGCTTTGGACTGATTGTTTTTAGATGTCTTTCCTGTCTTCATAAAATTTAGCTTATGAAGAACGGAATAGACTCACAGCAGCCTCTTTAATGTCTATTCATGGTTCAGAAGGACCTGATCCATTCTGGTGCCTAATGGCATGCAAATTGCTTTTTTAATTTGAGTTATCTTCAAATTTGCACTGAAAAAAAATCATGGAGAGGATATTTTTTCTTAGCTGGAGCTACATTAAGGGCAAATGCGTTAGTTTGATGAATCACTCTTCAGATAGAACTTTAACAGAGAAAATGTGTAGCTATTTTGTTATTATCACAGGCAAGTAGGTAGAATAAAGAAAATAATGATGGGTCACCAGAGCATACCACACAAAACACCGCAGGTCTTTGATTGCAGCAAAATGTACCAAACACTGCTAGGTTTCAACAAACTACTATTTTATCATTAGTTGACAAACATTTATTTTGTCCGATTTACTAACTATATCTCCAGCAATGGCTCATCTTGTTTACAGATGACACTTGTAAGTGTCCAAATGCTGATTGGCACTCTGGTACATATTGTCCAGGAACCCATCTTCACCTGTCTGCTGGCTCCATTCCTTGGATCTCCTTCTGTCTAAAGAGAGCTTCTTTAACTTCTCAGGCTCCTTTGCAGAAGAGCCTTTTTCCTAAGCCTGAAAAGAAACTCTCCTACTGACAAAGCTGTCTCAGAGCTCAAGAGCCATTAAAATGAGTCAGTAGGAGAAATACCAGCAGTTGGGCTGCACTTCTTGAAGAATGATGTCACTGTTAAGGGCTAACAGGGAGAGCATTTAAAAAATAGAAAGGCAATCAGGTGCAGTTGATGAAAGGTAGAAAGATGAATAGGTAACGAAGAGACTGGTCACAAAATGAGCTTGATTCTGCAGTATGGCTCCCCTCCCCTCGTGTTTCAGCTTCACTGCTTTTTAAAAGCACAGAGTGGGACAGAGAACAATGCAGAGAAGGAGAATATGGGGTCTTGGCACCTCTCAAGTTCTTGGGAACAAAAGGAATCCAATTTCTTACCAAGAGTGATTTTTAACATCCTCCAAAATCAGCTTAATTTAATATACTATGTCAAGAATTATATTTTTAAGCCTATTCATCTTCAAAAGAAGGATGCCCTGAAAAATATTTTTAAGACAGGTTAATTGACTAATTTCTATTCTTTTCCCAAAGAGTAATCTGCTCACAAAACAAATGACAATTTCATAAAGAAAATATCATGATTGTGCTGGAAAACATCAAGCTAGATTACTACATGAGAGTTTTGCAGTACCTGACTCTTCCTGTAAGCACAAACTCAGCTGCAGGTGTTATCATTACAATTAACTTTCAGAAATAGTGCTAAAGGAAAGGTGGCATACAATTAAGATGTGGCATTTATAGCAGTAGAAGCAGAGGACACACTCAGATGTTGTGTAGAGAACGAATAGAATCTTTCCTTTATCCTTCCTGGATCACATCTGGTAATTTAGCGATTTCTCACAGCATATCATTAGATTGTGATTTTAATCATTCTCCAACATTTCAATGTCAGAATGTTAAATGCTTTGTGTACCTTCCTGTCCTTCTCCAGGGGACTGTGGTAGTATGAGAGCCCAAATGTTATCCCAGTCCATTTTCTGTGAATTAGAGGAGTCTCTGGAGCATATTATTTCTTGTGTTGGGAGAAAGCATGGCTTAAGTTTTTCTGAATAAATTTTCAAAATCAAATTTGAAAGTTTTCATGAGAGATGATCCTCCCTGGTGGGTGATACGAAGCAGAACCTGAGGGGCAAACATGAAAATAATTAGCATAAAATGTATTAGCATATAGATGCCTTTGAAACAATAAACAGCAGAAAACCCAAATGCTTATCCCCAAAAGAAAGTTAGGAGAAAATATGAAATTAGCGTTCACTTCTCGCATGACAACCCTAGTCTGAAAGCCAAACGGAATGTTCTCAGCGAAGGGTACAATGGCCAGGGAGATGGAAAAGTAACTCCATACTTCCTTTCCTTTGCTCTGCTTTCTGCCTGGTTCATTATCACCATATGAACATTCTCCACTTACCCGTTAGCCCATACCACCCACTCCCTTTCGCTTTTAAATAGAAATAAAGAAGAAAGTCAAATGTCTTCCTTTTACTTCTTTTAAAAGCCACCAGGTACTCAGATACAATATCTTTATTTTCTTTGTAAAATCTCCTTCTTTTAGCTGCCTTTCTACAGTTTTCTAGATGTCCTACCAAATGCTGGGCTTGGTAATTTAATTATGAAAAGGACTGGGGACCCTCAGTTTAAAAATGGGATCCCACTTAGTGTTTTCCTTAACAATGGACCATACAACTGATTTTATGATTTCAGCGGAAACCACCTCTTGAGATAGTAAAATATGCTGGCATGGCAGAAAGAATGTGTTTTGTCAGGGTCAGTCCTCATTTTAAAATCTGTTGTGGGCAACATTGCAAAAGATGACTTAACCAATTAACTCTGTTTTCTCTTCTTTAAAGCAGTAATATTATCACTATGTTGTTTGGGTAATTATAGGGTACACACTAAGCACTGTAGGAGCTCAGTGAAGGTCACTCTGTTCACCTCTTCAATAATATCAATGAAGATTCTACAATTTTGTGGTTCTAGGATTCGGTAAGGTAAATGTCAGCCTGCCTCAGCTTTACATGTGGATAAAGGTGTGATACTTAAGATACGTATTAAAGGAAGAACCACAAAATATGATACTTCCTTCCCAATCCATGATAGCATAATATTCAGCTATTATTTTTTTGCTTTCTATTTTATTTTTAATGTATACTTTTATTAAATTTTTGTGCATTTTATATAAAACATCTTAGTCACCTTTTTTGTATTCCCTTCCTCCACCCACATCCCTGATAGCCCTTCCAAACTGGATTTCATGCATTATGATATATATGTTAAGGCCTATTGAGTCAGGTTAGTGTACCCAGAAATATTGAGCTATATTTAAAAGCTGTCCATATAGCACTTAGAACCTTAAGAAACAATGCTTCTTTAAAAATATTATTTGATTTTCTCAATTTGCATTCAGCTTTGAACTTCTGATGGATGACAGTTATTTCACAAGGTGTGCTTTGGTTTCTTGGCACATGAGGTGGGAAAGGAAACATTCATTACCAAATAACAGATTCTGTAGGAATGTGAAGGTCGGCATTGGCTTACGCCCCTTTGTTCTCTCTGTGTGGCACAGGTATTGGACCTGTCCATCCTTATCCAACACTCATTTACGTTCATCCATTCATTGCCATCAAAACCTACCTATCTTGACTTGCTTTCTTGATGCCACATCAGTACTTTCCACACACACTGCTGGCACATCACATTGAAATTGAGAGAAGAGGAAAACGAAGAAAGAAAGCCTTCGTGTATGGATTTCCTTAGCAAACATGCTTAGTTGAGTTTATAATCATGCTGCTCAGGAAGTTTTTACTGCTTTGGATAGGTTTCCAACTGACCTCACTGAGCCTGTATCATAAGACTTATCCCAAGCACAGGGCAATCCTGCTGAATGTTATTCAATCTTCATCTTCTTCCTCCTTGGGACCTAGTGCATGGCATTTTGGGCTAATTTTAAAAAGAAAATGTTTAGAAAGGCACATCCCAATATACAGCAAACATACCACAAGCTAATGTTTTATTGGCAGATCTTTTGACAGCCTGTGTTCTTCTGAGAATGGCCCCTTTGGCTATGAAGGAAAGGGACCATTTTATGAATCCAGTAAATACAAGATTTTCTCTAGGCTTTGTCCATCATTGGCTAAGGCAAAGCATGTTCTCAGCAATCCAGAGGATTCCAGGGTCTAGCAATTTGTACTTCTTACAGGGCTTCGTTGTAATGCTAATGATATACAGTTGTATTTGAACTATGGTCAGTTTCAAAATTTAAAATCATACAAAAGAAAAAAAAAAAAAACCTTGCCAAGGCAATTT